TGTCGTGTCGTCGTCGTCGTCGTCGTCGTCGTCGTCGGTCGTCGGTCGTCGGTCGTCGGGCACCATTGGAACGGGGTGCCGAGTGCAAAATTGCCTGCAGCTCCAGGGTCGTTTTGGTGTCGTCGTCGTCGTCGTCGTCGCCGCAGCCGTCGCCGTCGCCGCCGCCGCCGTCGTCGCCGCCGCCGCCGCCGCCATCGTCGCCGCCGCCGCCGTCGTCGTCGTCGTGGTCGTCGTCGTCGTCCTCGGTCGTCGGTCGTTGCTGGATCGGGGTGCCGAGTGAAAATTGCTTGGAGCTCCGGCGTCGTTTTGGTGTCGTCGTCGTCGTCGCCGCAGCCGTCGCCGTCGCCGCCGCCGACGTCGTCGACGCCGCCGCCGCTGGGGGGGTGAGATCGTAGGTTGGGGGGTGAGATCGTAGCGGAACGGAGACTCTTAACTGGGAAATCGTTCCGTTTCGTTTATGTCGTGCGTGCGGGCGAGGCGGGCGCGCGAGAGGAATGAACCCGCCGTTGCTAGGGCGAAGTCAAGACAAATGATTCTCCCCCGTCCGTCCGTCCGTCCGGCGGTGGCTCGCGGTGTCCCGCGGTGTCCCGTGGTGTCCCGTGCTGTCCCGTGGTGTCCCGTTGAGTGAGATCGATAGTGAGATCGATACTGAGATCGATGTGGTACCCCCAGGTGTCCCGTGGTGTTCCCACAAACGAGATCGATAGTGAGATCGATAGTGAGAACACAGGTGTCCCGTGGTGTCCTGTGGTGTCCCGTTGAGTGAGATCGATAGTGAGATCGATACTGAGATCGATGTGGTGCCCCGAGGTGTCCCCAAAAGTGAGATCGATAATGAGATCGATGAGTGACATCGATAGTGAGATCGATTGAGTCAGATGTTGGTCCCACCCCCTCCCCCCCCCCACACAACCTCCTTATCACCCGAAGGGTGGTCGTATAGGTATTTACATCTACGTATCTATATATATATATATACCTATACGACCACCCTTCGGGTGATAAGGAGGTGAGGGGGGGGAGGGACCAACGTCGCACTCGATCGATCTCACTCTCGATATCACTATCGATCTCACTATCGATCTCACATTCGGTCTCACTATCGATCTCACTATCGATCTCCCATTCGGTCTCACTATCGATGTCACTATCGATATCACAATCGATCTCACATTCGGTCTCACTATCGATCTCACTATCGATCTCACAATCGATCTCACATTCGGTCTCACTATCGATCTCACTATCGGTATCACAATCGATCTCACAATCGATCTCACATTCGGTCTCACTATCGATCTCACTATCGATCTCCCATTTGGTCTCACTATCGATTTCACTATCGATATCACAATCGATCTCACATTCGGTCTCACTATCGATCTCACTATCGGTCTCACAATCGATCTCAAAATCGGTCTCATCATCGATCTCACTATCGATATCACAATCGATCTCACAATCGATCTCACATTCGGTCTCACTATCGATCGCACTATCGATCTCACAATCGATCTCACAATCAATCTCACATTCGGTCTCACTATCGATTTCACTATCGATATCACAATCGATATCACAATCGATCCCACATTCGGTCTCACTATCGATATCACTATCGATATCACTATTGATCTCATTCGATCGATCTCACAATCGATCTGACTATCGATCTCACTATCGATCTCACTATCGATCTCACTATCGATCTCAGATTCGGTCTCACTATCGATCTCACATCGATCTCGCAATCGATCTCACAATCAATCTCACATTCGGTCTCACTATCGATTTCACTATCGATCTCACAATCGATCTCACAATCGATCTCACATTCGGTCTCACATTCGATCTCACTACCGATCACAATCGATCTCGCAATCGACGTCATCATCATCATCATCATCATCATCATCATCATCATCATCATCAACATCATCATCATCATCATCATCGCCATCATCAACATCATCATCATCATCACCATCATCATCATCATCATCATCATCATCATCATCATCATCATCATCATCATCATCATCATCATCATCATCATCATCATCATCATCATGATCGGGACACCGACGGGACACCGACGGGACACCGGCGGGACACCGGCGGGACACCGCGCGCGCGCCACCGGCCGCCCGGTGGAGAATCATTTGGTCCGGCCGCGCCTCAGCCACAGAGGACACCACCGGGACACCGGCGGGACACCGCGCGCCACCGGCCGCCCGGTGGAGAATCATTTGGTCCGGCCGCGCCTCAGCCGCAGGAGACTTTCCTCTCGCCCGCCCACGCAGCTTCGCCTCGCCCGCACGCACGGCACGCACGAACACGAAACCGAAATCGATTTCCCGGTAGGGGGGCTCTCCGTTCCACTTCGATATCACCCCCTCACCTTCGATATATATATATATATATATATATATTGTGTGTGTGCTCCACAGGCGCATGTGATTGTGTTTGCGCAAGCGCGCACGCACGTACAACACACATAGTCGGCGCGGCTCGGGGAGGAGGCTCCGGGAGGAAGAGTCGGGGAGGAGAGTCGGGGAGGAGAGTCAAGGAGGAGAGGCGGGGAGGAGAGTCGGGGACGGGACTCGGGGACGAGACTCGGGGACGAGACTCGGGGAGGAGACGGAGGAGTCTCGGGGAGGGGACTCGCGGAGGAGAGTCCAAGGGGGAAGCCAGGGAGAGCCGGGGACGAGACTCGGGGACGAGACTCGGGGACGAGACTCGGGGAGGAGAGTCCGGGGGGGAAGCTGGGGAGGAGAGCCGGGGACGAGACTCAGGGACGAGACTCGGGGTCGGGATTCGGGGAGGAGACTCTAGGAGAAAGAGTCGGGGAGGAGACTCGGGGAGGAGACTCGGGGAGGAGACTCGGGGAGGGGAGGAGACTCGGGGAGGAGACGCGGGGAGGAGACTCGGTTGGAGTCTGGGGGACGAGACTCGGAGAGGAGTCTCGGGGACGAGACTCGGGGAGGAGTCTCGGGGATAAGACTCGGGGAGGAGTCTCGTGGACGAGACTTGGGGAGGAGTCTCGGGGAGACTCGGGGAGGAGACGCGGGGAGGAGACTCGGTTGGAGTCTCGGGGACGAGACTAGGAGAGGAGTCTCGGGGACGAGACTCGGGGAGGAGTCTCGGGGACAAGACTCGGGGGCGAGACTCGGGGAGGGGACTCGGGGAGGAGACGCGGGGAGGGGACTCGGGGACGAGACTCGGGGACGAAACTCGAGGACGAGAATCGGTGACGAGACTCGGGGTCGCGACTCGGAGAGGAGACTCGGGGAGGAGACTCTCGGGCTGTCCTCTCGGGCTCTCCGCTGGGCGCGTCGCGCCCAAAAACACTTGGGTCACGATCCAAGTGTTCCTGCGATCGTGAATTCAGGGTCTTCACTGGGCGGGTCGGGTCGGGTCGGGCGGGCGGACCCTGGCGGGCGGGTCGGGGCGGGTCGGGCGGGACATGAAAGCGTGGGGCGCGCTCGACGTTCGCCGACGGAGCTGGCTTCGCCGGGCGGCGAAACCAGCCGTCGGCGAGACGAGCTGGGCGAAACCAGCCGTCGGCGAAACCAGCGGTCGTCTTCTTTCCGCACCCATTTCTGAAGGGGCCCTGGGACACACAAATAAATACACACAAATAAAAATAATCCCTATAGTTTCCTATATTTTCTGTGTTTCTGTCTTCCCCCCATTTCCCATATTTTCCCATATGTTCTGGGGAATCGACGATTAATTGTGTCTCTGTGTTTTTTTCCCTCCTGAATGTCGATCGTACCGATCCGAGACTCACGAGCATCGTTTAGCCGATCCCCATCCCCACCGGCGTGGCCGACGCCCCACTTGCCGACGTGGCCCCCTGGACGGGGATAGTGGCCGTTCCCTGCAGGCTTCGAAGGGCATATCCCTCCTCCTCCTCCTCCTCCTCCTCCTCTTCCTCCTCCTCCGCCTCCTCCTCCTCCTCCTCAACTTGGTGGGATGGGAGGGGATCGTGATGGGGATGGCAGGGGAACAAACAATGACATAAGCATCATACTAATTTTGAGGTCCGCGCGGATTTCTCGGATTGCGCGGAGCGCGCCAGGGGCGTTGCTGGAGGCACCGCTAGGGGGCTCCAGCGCCTATCCGAGAAATCCGCACGGACCTTCGAGTGTTCATGTTCGTGTCAGTGTCTGGACCGTCGGCCAGGGACCTCTCCTGGGGTGCGCTCTGAGCACCTCTCCTGGTGGGATGGGGACCCAGCGGTCTGGACCCATCCCCAGGGACCAGTGCTTCATCCCGAGTGGCTTTTGATAGTCCCGAGGGCCAGTGAGCGCCCCCAGAAGCCGAAAACATTGAAAAGGCTCCCGTCGTGATTTTTCCTCGACCCGAGGGAGTCGGGATACCACAAAATCGAGACACGGGCCCCCGACCTCTCGACCTCCTCCCCACGACTGGTGCTTCGCCCCGAGCCGTGCCTCGACGGCTCCGCGGCCTGGCAAGGACCCCGAGAGGCCGAAAACTATGTAAAACCTCCGTCTCAATTTTTTCGAGGCGCTGGATGTTTGGCTTCGGGGCCTAACTCGCGCTCTCCGGCGGCCGTACGGGACGATCCGGGCACCCCTGGAACGCCATCGACGAGGGGCGGCTGCTGGACCGCACCCCGAGACTATAGAAGACGCCCAGGAGCGCAAGCGCCCGAGCACCTCGAGCCTCGAGAACTTCGAACCGCCTGTGATTCTTCCCGCAACCATGCAGGAAAGCCCAGAATCGAATCGATAACTCGGGTCGGCAATCGACATGAATCGGATCGGCGGAAATCGGCAGCCGAATCGGGAAAAGTCGAATCGGCGGAAATCGGTAGGCTAGTATGCCTCCAATAAGAAATCGGAATCCAAATCGGAAGCCCAGGTCGAATCGAATCGGAATCGGAATCCATCGAAGTCGAATCGAATCGAATCGGAGGAATCGAAACGAGCCCTGAACCATGTCGAGCGCACCGATCCGACGCTCCGATGGGCCTCTCGGCCACGGCGTCCAGGGCCTCGCCCTGCTTCCGCAGGCGCCGCAGCTCCCGCCGCCGCTCGGTCATCCGGTTCTGCAGCTCCTCGGCAGGAGGGGTTCGCCCGGCACAGCGGGGCGAGGAAAGCACGCAAGCACGCAAGCAAACAGACAAACAAACAAACAAACAAACAAACAAACAAACACACACACACACACACACACACACACAAACAACCAACCAAGCAAGCAAGCAAGCAAACAAACAAACAAACACACACACACACACAAACAACTACACAAGCAAACCAGCAAACAAACAAATAGAACTGACACCCACAAGATCATCATCATCATCATCATCATCAGCAGCAGCAGCATCATCAGCAGCAGCATCATCATCATCACCAGCATCATCATCATCATCACCAGTAACATCATCATTAGCATCAACAACAAGAGCAGCAGTAGTAACATGAACAGCAGCAACACCAACAATAGCAACAACAACACCCCCAATAACAACATTCACATTAGCAGCAACAACAGCACTAGCATCGGCAACAGCAACACCAACAAACAACATAACAAACAGACAAGCCAACATGACAAGCACAACACCATCACCCTCGCCATCAACAACAACAACCCCAACAACAACAGCAGCAGCAGCAACAACAACAACACCAATCATTTTACCCGAACGCTCAGTGTTCTCACCAGTGCCAGGGTTTTCATGCGACGCGAGACAATACCCCCACTTCGTGGGGGGGCAGTTCAAGCTCTACCAAATATCCAAACGACTCTTCGCGACCACCCAAACCCAGCTTCCCGCCCTATGACGTTGGGACACTTCACTTCGTGGCGTGCGGACGACCGTGGCTACTACACTGGCGTGGGGTACACACCCACAGAACTTGGTCACTTATTCGGGGCGCGCGTGTGCCCAGCATCCTGCAATTGTGACATACAATACATGACACAGACAGACAGAGAGAGAGACAGAGAGCAGACAGAGAGAGAGACAGAGAGAGCGGAGTTGGTCACATTTTTGGGGCAAGTTCCTGAGATCGTCGTGTTTTTTGTTGGTCTTGCGCGCGCGAATGTCCACTTTACTTTTTTTTGCAAGGGATGTTGAAATTTGATTATGTAAGAACAAGAAAAAGTAGCTCGCGCGAGCTTATGTAACATAATGTTGAAAAACCATTGGTTTTGTGGGAGTCGGACAGCGCGCGCGGGATGAAATTTGGACATTTTTTTTTGAAAAACCATTGGCTTTTTGATGTTTTTATGTTGAAATCGTTACGAAACCTAAGGTTCTGGAAGGATTTCGTCTTGCGCGCGCGAATGTCCACTTTACCTTATTTTTTGCAAGGGATTATTGAAATTTGATTATGTTAGAACAAGAAAAAGTAGCTCGCGCGAGCTCATGTAACATAAATGTTGAAAAACCATTGGTTTTGTGGGATTCGGACAGCGCGCGCGGAAGGACATTTTGACAATTTTTTCTTAAAAAACCATTGGGTTTTTGATGTTTTTATGTTAAAATCGTTACGAAACCTAAGGTTTTGGAAGGATTTCGTCTTGCGCGCACGAATGTCCACTTTACCTTATTTTTTGCAAGGGATTCTTGCAATTTGATCAAGTAAGAACAAGAATTTTCATTTTATAGTGTTTTTTGCAAGGGAAAACGGATACAACAAAACAACCGGATCCGGACACAATCCACTTTTCTGAAGCTTTCGCGAAAAAATGATGAAAATGTAGCTGCGGCCTAGGTTTTGGAGGGGGGTCGTGCACCAGGGGTCCCAACAATAATTATTCTTTAGAAGTAATAATGTTCAACAACAACAGCAACAACAACAACAACAACGACAACAGCAGCAACAACCACAACAACAACAGAAACAACAGCAACAACGGCAACAACACCAACAACAACAGCAACAACAACAACCACACGAACAGCAGCAACAACAACAACCATCTTAGAACTGTTCGTTCTTTTCTGCTCGCGTGCCAGTCAACACGTATACTCCAAACGCTCGGTACCCGCCCTATTCGTCTTCGATCGAACCCCCTTCGGAGTATATGTTTCTTACCTGCGACATGTATTTCTTGCAGCCCCCAAGGCCGGGGAAGGGAGGACGGATGGAAGGAAGTGACAAGGGACAGGGTGAAGGATGAAACACGAAAGATAGTAGCAGGAAGGGAGGAGGGGTAGGAGAAGAAAACACGTGGCAGAACCAGACGGGCAAATCCAGCAGGTAGACCCTAACGGGCGGGTCGGGAAGGCGGGCCCAGGCGGCCAGGTCGAGAAGGCGATGTGAAGCGTGCGTCCTGCATGAATCGCGAGGAAGTCTCGACCGATAGCGCGATTCCCAACTACATCGTGGGGAAATCCACAGCGAGAGCGCGATTCCTGAGTGTCGAGGGCGCGGCGTCTGAATAAATTGCGAGGAGAACCCACGCGAGAGGGCGATTCCCGTATAAATTGTGAGGACGTCCAGCGCGAGAGCGCGATTTGGGAATACATTGTGAGGAAATATCAAATGGAACCCGCTGTTGTAAACCGGGCGCCAGGGGCGCGGTTTGGTGACACTTCACTTTCCCATGTAAGAAGGAGGGTGCGAGCCCCGGGAGAATAGAGGCCTCCTTGAGGGGGTCGGAGTAGATGGGGTCGGAGGATCGCGCCGCATCACATCGGCGATGCATCGGTGATGCACTGGCGATGCATCGTCGACGTCGGCGATGCATCGGCGCCGTCGGCGTGGAGAAAATCTAACTCCGCATCGAGCCACATCGTCGATGCATCGGCGATGCGGCGCGACTCTTTGACCCCATCTACTACGATCCCATAGGCGACCAGCATTTGAATTGAAAATACAATTGTTAGCGGGCAGGGGGGATCAACAACAATTATTCTTTATATATATATATATATATGAGAATCCAACAACAATTACAACAACAGCAACAACAGCAACAACAACAAGCAGCAGCCGCATAATCCGCAACAACAATAAGATCATTCATATGAAAATTGTTCGCTGGTGTCTCGCTCACACAGCCACACGCCCACGCGCCTACATACTCGCCTACACGCCCACACGCCCACACGCCCACATGCCCAAGCACCCACGCGCCCACACGCCCAGACGTCCTGAAAACCACACGCCCATACGCCCACACGCCCACACGCCCACTCACCCACACGCCAGCCCGCACGCCCGCACGCCCACACGCCTGCACACGCCCACGCGCCCGCGCGCACGCACGCCCACACGCACGCCCGCGCGCCCGCGCGCCCGCGCGCCCGCGCGACCGAGCGCCCGCGAGCACACGCGCACGCGCGCACGCGCGCACGCACGCACGCGCACGCGCGCACACGCGCACACGCGCACACGCGCACGCGCGCACACGGGCGCACACGCGCACGCTCACGCCCAATCGCCGCCACACGCTCTCACACGCCCCCACATGCTCCCACCAACCCACACGCCCACGCGCCCACACGCCCGCACGTCCACACGCCCACTCGCCCACACGCCCACACGCCCACACGCCCACGCACCCACGCGCCCACATGTCCTGACGTCCTGACGCGCACACGCCCACACGCGCGCACACGCTAGCACGCCCGTCACGCCCGCACGCCCGCACGCCCACACGCCCGCACACGCCCGCACACGCCCGCATGCCCGCGCGCGCGCACGCCCGCACGCCCCCACGCCCCCGCGCCCGCGCGCCTGCGCGCCCGCGCTCCGGCGCGTTCGCGCGCCCTCGCGCACGCACGCACGCACGCACGCACACGCACGCGCACACGAGCACACGCGCACATGCGCACACGCGCACACACGCACGCGCGCACACGCGCGCACCAGCGCACGCCCACGGCCACACGCCCCCACACGCCCCCACACGCTCCCATACGCTCCCACACCCGTACACCCCCACACCCTCGCGCCCACGCACCCACAAGCTCACACGACCCCACCACCCCACAACCCCACACACACCCGCACACTCACCCACACACACACAAATCCACACACACACAAACACGGACCCACACACCCATACACCAACACACCCACACACCGACACACCCAAACAC